GCTGGGCCGAACGGGATGGTCCTCCACATGCAAGCCCGCTGGCGATGACTCTAATCTCTCCAACCGGGGGAGTAGGGTTGCCTTGTGCTCGAGGTGGTGGTGGGGGCCGATCATTGTCTCGGTTAGGTTGTACGAGTTGTTGGGAATGAGTGTGTCAATGGTTGCTCTCGATAGGTTCAGTCCTTGGCTGTTGTTGGGGACGGGCTGCCGTGAACCAACTGAGGTACCCTGGCGGGCGTATCAAGCTCTCTACCTAGTCTTGAAGGTTAACACATTCCTCAGTGTTGTGGCCGTAATTCTGATGAAAATGACAGTATTTGGATTGATCTCGCCGGTTGGAAGGAGACTGTGATGGTTGGGGCCATTTCAGGTTATAATCTAGTTGGATTTGGTTTAAGACTTGCTCCATGGGGGAATTGAGAGGAGTGTACCGCTCGAATCGACCAGGCAGTCGGGTAGGTGCCGGTCGATCTGTATACTGAGGAGTGTGCTGTGTATATTGGGATGGTCTGGTTTCAGATTCCTTTCTCTTCTCCTTAGGGGTTAGGTTTTTAGTTGTGGTATCTTGGCGGGCTACTAGAGAATCTTCGGCGTTCATATAATTTTGAGCTTTGGAAATGAGGGTGGCTATGGAGGTTGGAGGGTTTTTGGAGAGGGAGAAGAGGAAGTCGAATGATTGTAAACCAGCCATAAAAGCCATGAGAACGACCTTGTCATCATTTTCCGCAACCTGTAAGGCCTCGGTGTTGAAACGGGTGACAAAGCTACGTAACGACTCCCCCTCTGTCTGACGGATGTTAAGGAGCTAAGTCGCTAGGTGCCGCTGGTGCTGAGCACCAATGAAATGGCTAAGAAATGAATCGCTTAAGTGTTGGAAAATAGAAACGGAGTCCATCGGCAACTGACTAAACCACAATCGAGCCGACCCTTTAAGCTTTACGAGAAAAGCCCGACATATGATCTCATCAGGAAAAGTATGGAGGATCATTAGGGTTCTGTAAGTCTCCAAATGGTCAACTGGGTCCGTTATGCCGTTGAAAGAGTCAATTGAGGGCATTTTGAACTTGAAATGTAGGGGTTTGTCTCTAATGGAGGCAACAAGCGGGGAATTGGTTGCTGTGCAGGGTTTATTCTGTATGTTCTGCATTACTCCTTGAAGTTGGAGTTTCATGGCTCGGAGTTCCGCATCCCAGATAGGAACATTGTCACCACCAAAATGCAGTGAAGGTTGGACACTACGAGCCCCTCCTTCAGGAGTAGGTGCTTGAACTGATGGATGTAGACCCCGAGGTGGTGGGTTCATGTCTTGAGGTAGGGGTTGCAAACCCTCCAGGTTGGAGAGGTGGGCTTGTTGGAGATGATGGTTCGGGGTTCGTTCTCAGTTAGGTAGGATATCTTGTGGTGGTGAAGGAGGCACATAGAGGTCTCGTTGAAGCAAAACATTGATCAAGGCTTGGTTTTGTTCGGCTAAACGGTTGATGTTGTTAGTTAGTTCTGTGAAATACTGAGGTAGGTTGTTTGGGTTAGGAGGGTCGGCTTGGGGGTCAGCAACAATGTGTTGAGAAGCCATGGATCTCGTTGTGACCACCCACCTTGGTGGGTGGCGAAGAGGAATTATTGGGAACGGGTCTTTGGCAATAATGAGCACAATTGTCATGCGGAGTGAAAGGTTCCCACAGACAGCACCAATTGATGGTATTACTTGTCCTTGGGGGATGAGTTAGGCTGATCCACGCTCTCCAACACCGTTGTCCGATCGCTGGACTCACTGAGATATCTGCACAAAAGTTCAACGGGCAACGGGAGTCCCCCAGCGAACCCTCCGACGAGCAAGTTAGAAGAGAGAGAGATTGATGGTGTGTAGAGATAAAGTAATGATAGGGAACTTAACTTTCTTTGTGTCTTGAAAGCCTTCTTATATCCTTTGTTCATCATTTCTTTGTCTACTTTAACCTGTTATGTTAGTCGAAAGTCTATGCTCTAGCTTGCCTTATTCATGATGAGGCTGTTCTGTTCTGACGTGAAGGGATAATTGCATTTAATGCTGTAAGAGGCCTCATTAATGGCTGATGTGTGATACAATAACTCTGCAGGATCTTTTTCTGCCTACGTGGCTAGTTCTCTTCTTGGCAAGTGTTTAGATGCCATTTGTTCTTTGGTGTAACGTTGGGTTCCAGTAATGTTGGGCTTTAGTGTTTGAACCGTGTGTTGGGCTCTAGGTGATGGGCCAAAAACCTCTGTTGGGCCACCTATGTCAGTTCTAAGTGTCTAGCCCAACCTGACGAGCAAGTATAATACAATAATTTTATTTTATTTATTTATATAATGGAATATAATATAATAAAAAATATATAACATTTCTTTGCATAGTCATATATGCAAGGGAGCTCAATTGAAATATAAACTAAATATTTTAGCCAATCTTATATTCCTATCATTGAGTTGCAAAATAAAGTGTATATATCATGCGGGTAGCATACTTGATTATGTGAGAGCTTTTCTCTAAATAATGTGCATATAAAAATCATTTACTGACATTTGCTACATTTCACTTGAAATAGCTTGCATGTATGAATTTTTTTTTGGCCATCAAGAAAATCTATTTTTATTTTTAGGCCAAAATTGTAATGTAATATTAATTCTGTACGTTCTTATTTTAATTATTGTGATTGGAGTTTTTTCTCCCATTCAATAGCCATTATACATATATAACCCAATAGATGGATTTGAAAATTATAAGTTCTTATAGAACTACGCTTGCGTTGACTAGATAGGCGCGATATCCAGACCGGGCCAGATTTGAACAAACATAAAGTCTGTTATTAGGTAGTACTAGTCCAGCCCAAATCCGATTGATATAATTATAAAACTTATTTTGGGTTCGTTTGGGAAGTGAGTTGACTTTTTGGTTATTTTAGCCCGGGGTTAAAAGTCTCGTTTGGAAAGGACTTTTTAGCTTTTTGACTTTTTGTGAGATAAAGAATGTAATGATTATGGGTTGGATGTGATGTTTTGTCGGGCTAAAAAGCCTATTTTGTCATTTTGTGACTCAAATAGCCTTAACCCTTCTTTCCAAATGAAACCTTTATTTTATTCAAGGTGATCAGTGTAATTGATTATTGAAAATTTATTTGTAATTTCTTAAAAAAAAAAAAAAAAAAAATCCTGATTTTAGTTTGGATTTGGGTTAAACTAAAAAAGAGCTACAAGGTTTATCATAGGGGTGGACAAACGTCGGCCCGAGTTTGACCCAGGCCAGCACTACATAATAAAAAATTTTGTGTTTGTCTAAACTTGGTTCAACTCTAACATCGGGCTTATATATCTACAAAACTTGGTCTAAAAAATACTTATAAATATCAAACCCGCCCATTGAGTTATATGTTAAAAAAAATAAAACATTTTATAATTAAATTCAATCACACATTATATTTCTTATATTAAATAATTATATTGCCATCATTATGAATTGAAAGATTTTGTATATAAATTGAAAGATTTCTTAAATAAATTAAATCGGTCCCGCTTGGTAGCCTGAATGTAATGAGGCTCAAATGGCCCGAGTTCTATGTACACCCCCAGATTTCTTGTACACCCCCATTTCTGTTCAGCTACACCTTTTATTCAAAAAAAGAAAAAGAAAAAAAAAACAAACAGAGAGTAAAAAGAGATGAGATCAATAAACAGTGAGAGGATAGAAGAAATAACTGGGTAACAGATACCAATTACTAAGTCATGCTCAAGTTGCTCTTCTAACTTTCAACACACATTTAAAATCAAATTTCACAACATTTACAGATTCATATAACAAATTTATAACAGAATTTTAATAGATTTATAACTAATTTTTAACAGATTTACAGATTTGTATAACAGATGATTTTTAATAGATTTATAACAAATTTACAAATTTGTATAACAGATTTATAACATATTTATAATAGATTTCAACACATATTTAGAAGTTATTATAACGAATTTACATATTTTTTTGTTCGGTGAATACATATTTACATATTTCAACATATAGATCAACGGATTTACATATTTTTTGTTGGGTGAATACAGATTTACATATTTCAACATATAGATTTACAGATTTCAACACAGATATATAATTTTACAGATTTCAAGCAAAACTGAAAACACAAGTATAAACTCAAAAGATTACAGATTTAAAGCAAAACCAAACACAACAGATTTGAAGCAAAATCGTATTTTAAACAACATATTTCCACAGATCTAAGGGAACAGAAAAATCGAGAAGATAGATAGTGGAGATTGAGAAGATAGACTATTTCTCTCTCATCTCCTCTCAGTATTTAGCTAGGTTACTCAGTTCTCTCTCTCTACTCTATTCTTTTCTTTTTTTTTAAAAAAAAAAAAAAAAATTAAAGGTGTGGCTGAACAAAGCTGGGGTTGCACAAGGTATCTGGGAGTGTACAAAGAAATCCCCCACTCGAGCGTCCTTTCATTCAAGCTACCAATCAATAATCTAAATTAAATCATACACCGGCACAAATATGAGTTTTAATAAAATTAATAAAGATAAAGTGTAAATCTTAAAAAAAAAAATATAATATATTATAAATAAATAAATAAATAAATAATTAATTTAATAACAGATTAAGCCGAATTGAATTAAAAGTATATATATATCCAAAATTTAACTCATTAATATTTTGAACTAAAAATATTGATCAAATCTGCTCCCATAGGATAAAACAATATTTTCAATCCCTAAAAAAAATATAAGATTGGGCCGAATGAACTGAGCAGGCCAATGGACCAATGTGCCGCTAGTAGGGCTATGCAGCGGATCCATCAGTCCCCCAGACCCTGCCGACCCGATCAATAATGGGTGGATGCATGACAAGTGGCGGGTGGGCAGGCCCATGTCCATTTTTTTGCGCTTTTCAGGATTCGGGTCGGGTAGTGGGTGATTCGTCGTCTTACCTAGAAAACCCGACCCGAACATGCCTTCTTTATTTATTTATTTATTTCTTTTACGCCTCACCCCCTTTTCTTTCGTTTTACCCTAATTTCTTCGACAGACACAACACACACACAGACACTCTCTCTCTCTACCCTACCCATCGTCCGACGATCTGCACTGAACGGCGATCTACACTGAGGTATCTCTCTCTCTCTTCTTCTTCTTCTTCTTCTTCTTCTTCTTTCCTCTTCTCTTTTTCTCTTCTCTTCTTCTCCCCTTTTTCTGGGTTTTTGATTTTTTCACCTTTGGGTTTGGTTCCCGAGAAAAACTACTGCAACGTTCTGGTTGTTTAATTTTGTTTTATGATTTGTTGGTAGGTAAACGTATCTGGGTTAGTTTTTTCCAATAAAACACATCTGCTTGATCTTATGACTGTTCTTAAATTTGGGTTTTCTAGATTAGAACACAGGCGATTCGGAGAGTTCACGAGAACATTGATAAGACGTTGAAAGCGGCAGAGGTTATATTGTCTCAGTTTGACCTTTCTCGCCGGGTTAGTTTTGTAGATTACCTAATTATTCATGCTTCTTTATTTAGGAACTCTGTTTCTTTGTTGTTTTCTCTATTGTATTGATTTCAAAAGAAAAAAGTGCTGGCTGAAACTGAAACTTTCTCTAGCTTATTGATGTTGAAATAGCTATATACTTGGAATTGATAATTTACTAGGCCTAGAAAGGTTAAGGATTATGTGTGTATGTACAGGGAAGCCTTAATTTCCTTGGTTAAAGCTTACCACTATGTTTTTAGATTTTCCTGGGAATTTATATGTTGCCTTTAGTAGTCTTTGACTCTCTGCAATGTTAGAACATTTATTTTTATATTGTTTTTAAGTATTCAGGGGCATCTTTTTGTTCTTTCCCCTTATTTCTTAGGTTGCAGAGCTATGTTTAAGCTTGTAGCAGTAGAGGAATAGCCCTGCCTGTAGCATTCCATTTTTTTTTTTCTTTCTCATTACAAAGTCATAGTCAATCTGCATTAAGAAAGAAAAATAAAAATGGTAAGTACATTAACTATGAAATCAATGTATTAAGAATGCTTCTTCATAGGATATTGAGAATGCTTCTAGTTTCTTTGAATTTGAAAGCATATTTTGAATGATTTTTTTATTGGTTTTTGGTGGTATATTTGATAATCTTTTAGTCATGGATCCTCCAAGCGAAGAAACATTTTTTGTAAGTCCTAATGTTGAGCCCAAAACATTTTTTTGAAAGCACCAAGCCGATTCGTATCCATTTGCCAATCCGCATCCGCTGGATTGGCGGACAGATGCAGATTGATTTTTTTTAATTCGCTAATTTGGCGGATGGATGGCGGATTGGAGGTTCCGTGGCCGCAATTGATCTGCGCCCACCCCTAGCCGCTAGTTTACGGTGTATGTGCCAAAACCAATTGAAAACCCTAATTTTGTTGCATTAATAAAGTCACTAATATGTTCACATTCACACAAAATGCAAATAGTAATAACAAAATGGCTGCTACCATTAAAAGCCATTTGATTCTCACGATATCACAACTCAACTCACCTTCTCCTTGAAGCAGACAAGCCGTCAATCTCTCTAGATTCTCTCATCTCTCAACATTTCTATGGAAATGGTAGGGTTTCTTCGAGTTGATTGTACACTTCGTGCTTGAACTTACCCTCTAGAGAAAGGTAAATCATATTACTTATTTTTTTTTTTAATTTTTAAAATATTTTAATTTGTTAATTCTAATGAATTGATTCTGAGTTGGAGTTGTCAATATTCCAATGATTATACAGTAGTCCACTTCGCTCCGCTGCTCTGCTTGATTCTACATTCTACTGTCGGAAACAGAGATAGGGCAGCATGATTGCCTCGACTTTATTTATATGAATTTACTAATTGTACAACTGAGATTAGGGTTTTTTTTTTGGGCTTGATTTTGTACTGTAGCTGGTGATTAAACTGCATGGATTGTACGGATACATCTTTTTAAAACCTCTTAAATTTGTGGGGTTGCATGGGTTTTGATTTTTTTTTTTTTTTTTTGGAAGGGGGTTGTGTAGATAATAATTAGTTTTAGGAACATTTTTGGGTCTTTGGTGTAATACAACAAAATTTATGAGCAATTTAGAAATTTTTCACAATATAAGTGTTATAAGATAAGAGAGATAAGAGAGAGAAAAAAACCTCTCTTGGTTTTGCTTTAGTTTGTTATATTTTTATTGGTTTCTTTGAATGTGCTATGGTATGAATATGCGATCATGGCATCAGTGTTTGATTGTAGTTGATTGAAGAGTGGAATCATTGACTCATGGAATTCTCTTAATGGAAATAAAAATTTGGCCATGCTTGACCAAATTCAAAGATTTTTGGTGTTAATAATATAAGGTGGAATTCAATTGTAGCCTTCATTATAGTATGACGCCATAATTGATAGTACTGTTGAAAGGAGCATTTAATCTTTCGTTATGACAACCTTTTGGAGCTATGTAGGGTACTATTATCATGATTCATGTGTCTACTGTTAAGGTTTTAAAAAGCTGCCACAGCAATTACGTGACACTATTACATAACGGTTGTGGTGGTTATCGCTATCTGTTATGGCCGCTATTTCGGTGTGGCAGAAATTTACGACTGTAACGGCCGCTATCGTTACGTAACGGCTGTAACATTGCCGCTACAACACCGTTACGGCCGTTATGCTTCTATTTTTTTAATTTTTTTTTATATAAATTTTGTATATATTGCTATTTTCTCTTTTTATTTTCTAGTTACATAGTAGAACTTAAGTAAAAATCTTATTTATTCATGTTTTGAATGTCCAATTTTCAAGTTCTACAAGATTTCATTACTTTTTACTTAATTGTATTTGAATATGAACTTATATCTATTTCTCTTATGTTAAATTTATTGAATAAAATTTAGATTTCATATTATGTACTTTTATATTATTATGTTAACATTTTGTATTTTGAACTTCTGTTTATGAGTCTATTGTTTTTAATATTAAAGGTACTTCATTTTTTTTCTTAACAAATCGAAAAAGTTACTCATAATTATAATTAGTAAAGTAACGAAAATTAACTAAATCCAACAATAGGAAAATTCTCAATAGCAACTTAAAACTAATATAAAAATTAGTATATATATTGGATCATGTTTTAAAACTAAATTAAAATGCTAAAAATCATTTTGAGCCTCACTAAATGTGATTCTGAAATAAAAATATGCATATGATTATGTTTTTCTATAGTTGTGCGAAGAATTAAAAAATTCATGACGTCGGTTGCTGCCATCGTTACGCTCTGATAGTTAAACCCTGCAACTGCGTCAGCGTTATTGCTACCGTTATGGTAATCGCCACTGTTATTTAAAATCTTGACTATTATGTTTTCAGTCATTTTTAATTTAGTCTGTAGGGGCTTTTTTTTTTTTTTGTTCAAGTTCTAGGCCCTGGAGACAGGGAATCCTGTTTTTCCTTTTCTATTAATTATTGTTTTGGTGTGTTTCTATCGAAACACAAGAATTTCATTTTTTTCACTTATCTTCGTTTTTGTTTCCTAGGAAAACAAAGATGTTTCATCCGTTTCAACAGAAAGAAAACAGATGAAGGAGTTGGGTGGGTTATGTGCGTCTACTGTTATGTTTTCAGTTATTTAATTTAGTCCATAGGGGCTTTATTGCAAGTTCTAGCCACTTGAGGCAGGGAATCCTATTTTTCCTCTTTTGTTAATTATTGTTATGGAGGCAAGGGACAAAATTTCATTTTCTTTTTGTTGAATGGATGAAACTTTTTTGTCTCGTAGGAAATAGACATGAAAGATAAGTGGAAAATTGAAATTCTTGTGTTTTGAAACACACCAAAACACACACAAATTTACTGGAAGTTACGAAACATTCTGAAACAATATCTATTATCAGCTAAAACTATTCGTCTTTTTTGTTCTTTTATGGTTTAGGGTTTAGTTAAAACTATAACTATAACGTCTATTTGTTTGACATTAATTTGATGATTGTTGGTTAACATTGAATTTACTTACCCTCTATGTAAAGGGATGTGTAAACCTCAAACAAATTAAATTAGTCAGTCATTGAGCTTGTATAAATATTTCTATAGGCTTTAGATTTTGTTGCTAAATATTTCCTTTCGTTTTCAAAAACATTTATTATTTTTGTTATACTTTTGAAGTGTTTCTAAAATGTTTCCATGTCCAATCTAACCAAAACAAAACACTGAAATGAAAGTTTGATCCTTGTACCTGTACGGATGCCCTTAGTTCTATGTTGGAGAAGATTGTTAAGGGAGTCTTATCAATGGGTTTAGTGTCTTTGCTGATAATTTTCTTCTTCTTTATGAAGCAAAGGGCGATGAGTTGAGGTGTATGCTATTATGTTTTGCGGCAGTCTCGGGGTTGCATATTAACTTAGCTAAGAGTGCCCTCATTAAGGTGGTGTGGAGGTGCACAATTGGGATCTTTTCGAGATACTAGTTGTTAGTTCCGTGCCTTCCTCGTATTTGGAAATGCCTCTAGGGTCCTCTTAAAATGCTAAAGTTGTAAAGGATGATGTGGTGAGGAGATTTGAAAGAAAGAAAGTTGTTTCTTGGAAGAGGCAACAACACTTATCTAAAGGGGGTAGGTTTACCCCTAATTGAGAGCATTCTCTCTTGTTTTTTTACACTAAATGTCCTTCTTCACTATCCTTGTTTTGTGGCAAGGAGGGAGGAGAGATACCAAAGCGACTTTCTTTGGGGGTTTATGGGAGGAACTTAATTATCATTTGGTTGATTGGGATAGAATGTTCTTGTCCATTCAAAGGGGAGGCTTGGGGTTTGTTAGCTGGAGGTGTTCAACAAACCTCTGTTGAGAAAGTGGCGATTGAGATTTGCGTTGAAGCAAAGGAGGTTGTGGAAGGGAGTTATGGAAAAAATTAGGGTAACTATTGTATTGGTAGGGACATGGGAGAGATGTATTGAGGATTTAGGATGAATTTTCTAAATGGTCTTTTTCAAAGTAGGCAATGGGAGGAAAATAAGGTTTTGGCTTGATCCGTGGTGTGGTTGTTGACCTCTTAGGGAGGTGTTCCCTATCCTTTTCCGTTTGGCCATTGATTCTTATGTGCATGATTACTTGTTGATTTTTGAGGGCGGAGTGGTTTAGAATCCTCGTTTCTAGAGGGAATTGGAACGTTTCAGTTAGGGTAGGCTTGTATAGTTACCTGGAATGTGGATTGTTCCGGTATGTGGAATGGGAACACAGTATGCTACACGCTCTATATTGTGGCTCGATAGGGGTAGGCTTTTATAGTTTACACTATAAGAATTCAAGGTGCTTTTAGACTAGAAAAATTCTTTTAACAATTAGACATATGGAAACACATTTTTATGAACATTATGACTCATTTTTGATGTTGGCGTGTTAAAAGTTCAGTTACTTTAGATTTTAGATCAATATATTTGATTTTTTGTCCTCCTAAGGAAACTGTGAGGAAATATATTACTTTTGGATTTTTGGGCAGTGTTATTAAACGCACGCCTAGGCCCAAGTTCCATCCAGGCGCAAGCATTGTGCCTTGTAGTGTTCTAAGTGAGGCGACTTCAATAAGTCGCCCTTTAGGCGTGTGACTAGCGTCAGGCGCAGGCCTTGATTTTTTTTGTTTTGTTTTGATTGGTTTTGTTGAAATTTGACCCTTGATTTATCATTGGTTAGCTATACATGCCAATACATTGGGTATTCAGCCCCAAATCAACGATAGAAGAAAAATTTGCCCTAATTTCTAATCTCTGAATAACTGAAACTCTTTGCTGCTGTCTCTGCCTCTGCCTCCTTCTTCTTCTTCTTCTTCTTCACTTCTTTTCTTCCTCTGTTGCTGTCTCATTCTCTTCTTCTCTGCTATTCTTCTCTGGACTTGTTTGTTTTGTTTCTCTGCTTATTCTTCTTCTCCCCTCTCCAGTTCCTCCTTCTCCAGCCTTCTCTGTTTTTTTCCCCTCTTCTCTTCTCCTTTTTCTCCGGTCTTCATCTTCTCTGGGTTGTATGCATCTGAAATGTTCAATAAATTATTTGCTTATGTTGAAATTGTTCATGTTTTAAAATGTTCAATATTTTATTTTGCTTATGTCGAACCCTAAATTATTTGCTTATGTGCCTTTAATATATATTTTTAACCTAGAACGTGTGCCTTAGATCGATGAAGCCTGTGCCTTGCTTTGTGCCTTGTGCCTAGGCCCCAGGAAATCGTAGCACCTCGGTGCACCTGTCGCCTTTAATAACACTGCTTTTGGGATCATTTTGGATCGCTAAATTTACTGTTTCGAAACAAGTGTAACCATGTTTCTGAACGTGCGTTCCAAAATGTAATTCGGTAGGGTATTAATGTCTTTTGGTCACATTGTTTCTTCCTGTTGATAGGTTTTGGTTTCTTTTTTGAAGAGAGAAAATGATGCCCTTGATCTTAATTTTGCAGAAAATATATAGTTGTTGACTGTTCTAATTAATAAACTGATAGCATTATTATTTGTCAAACTGAGGACAGTTTTATTCCCAACTTCTATTCTTCTTTCGTTGAGTTATGTTATTAATTTTCTGTTATATATTGTCTCTAACATTGATTTCCGATCATTTATTTGTTGGCATATCTGCTAAAGCAAGTTTACTGTTTGTCTTGATGATAGAAGGAGATCCAAGTTACAAATTTTGTTTCTAGAGGAGCACAAATAGATGGAGGACTGGGGTAATACTTCCTGGCTTTAATTTTGCAATGCATCTGCTTCTGAATGTGATGGAGTATTGTCATGCCTATTTAATTTTATATGGTTATGATTTATTAGAACTCCAATTAAGATATGGTTGAAATTATTTGTTTTATTTATAACTTTGGATGGAGGTGTGCAAAAATAGGAATTTGATGCTTCATCTAGTTCATACAACTACATGGATGTCAAAATGGCTCAGATTGAGACAGGTACATGTTGTGGCATGGATGATTATTGGTTTGGTGGTAGTTGTTGCTCTTGCTAGATTCTTAAGTAGGGAATCGGTACTTGGAGAGAGAGAGAGAGAGAGAGCTGCTGTGGCCAAAACTGTGATTTTGGGAGCACCAAGCTGCTATCACGAGCTTGTTCATAATTGGCTACTTGATGAATTCTTGTGATTTATTGATCATGGCTGCATGTTCATCTGCTCTTAATCATACCAATTGTCGTTACAAATATCATGATATAGTTTTATGTCAGTCTATATTTTTGTTTTTATAATAAACCAAACCAAGACTTAAGTCACATTAAATGGGGTCAGCTACATGAATCCTTCTTCTCCACTTAACTTTATCTAAGGCCATTTTGTTAGTCAAATTAAGAAGGTTCATGTCTCTATTTACTACACTAGTCCACGTCAATCTAGGTCTGCCCCTTCCCCTAACACTTTTATCTACCGTCACTGTATTGCATCTCTTCACTACTACTTCTGTTGGTTTCCGTTGTATATGACGAAACCATTTCAATCTATTCTCTCTTAACTTATTTTCTATCGGTACTACTCTTACTCATTCTCGAATATACTCATTCTTAATTTTATCTTCTCTGGTCTTGCCATACGTTCATCTTAACATCCTCATCTCAGCAACACTCATCTTATCTACATGTTTCTTAGTTACCCAACATTTCGACTCATATAACATTGCTGATGTAATATAAAAAAAAAATCATTTTGGGTAGTTTTCATTGTAGTATGTGCTATTTCAACATACTATAACAAAGTTTATTTCTTTTATTAATTCTGCTATGAGATATGATACTTTTTGACAGGAAATATGTTAAGTCGTTGACATGTGACTTGTATTGCCCGATAATCGCACAAGTGTATAGCATTAAGTAAAAGCAAATGTGTTTAGGGCCTGAGGTAGGAAAAAAAAATAATGGTTTACTTGTGATTTAGGCAAGATATGCAAATAGAGTGAATGATTGAAGCATGATTCATGTAGCAGAGCTAAGGGTTACATACGTCTTTCTCATGCTTTTAAGGCTGTACTGTGTTGAGTATTCTTAATATGTGTTTTCGTGCCACGAAACGGACTGATTAAATCAGATACTTACAATATTGTATGAGATTTACCTATATTTGAGTTTCATTTGAAATTTGTAGCTTCAACACTCCAACAGCTTCAACTGTCTTAAGGTTAGAATACTTAATAAAAAAACTGCCTTGAGGCTAGATACTCTCTCCTGAAAAATGTCAATGCATTGCAATTTTAGTATATGTATATGGGCTGTGGATAGTTTTGACTAAATTTTAAACTTCAAAAGAAGGGCTTTTTACAAAATTGAAATGGAAAATTTTACAGGACACTATTGTGTTGAGAATCTTATGTTGACTGTGATTCTGACAAATAAAGTAGCTCATCCAATCGGATGAACAGATGGTAGTTTGAGAATGTGATTATTGAAGAAATGGTTATGAGTACTTTCTGTGCCTATTATTGCACTTTGTTACATTTGACATGTAATCATTCGACACCCCATATCCACGGAAATTAAAAGTAATACATAAAGTCAAACCCTTACCGGGCCATGTAGACATGTTACAGTGTACTGGAAGGTTTAAACAATTACTTATCCCATTTGTGGTTCCTGGGTGAATGAATAGACTTGGTCCTTGGGATTGAACTTGGGAGATATGAATAGGTGGTAGTGATTTGTAAATTTGGAAATGATTCTTTTAAATGTGTTGCTGTCTTTGTTTTATTTATTTATTTATGGGGTTCAGAATGAACTTACCTTGGGGTTTGCAAAATATTTGCTTTTTAGCAATATGAAGTATGATTAGCCCCACTTTTGAAATTAGTTAGTTGACACTAGATCATGAACCAAATATCTTAGGGTAAGTTACACTTAACTTCCCCTGAGGTTTATCACAATTACAAGGACTTCCTTTAAGGTTACTAAAATAAAACTGCCGGTGGTCGTGTATTTACAACTTTGTCCCCTTATATGTTTAGTACTATTTTACTTTTTAAAATATGCTCCTTTTTTTTTTCTGCTCAGCCATTTTTACTCATTGAGTTGAATCGTGAACACACCATTTTACAAATTCACCGGTGAAGATTACTATTGCTGTCATGACCATAAATGGCAGCCATGGCCCAAGATTTGCATTGTTTCCCAATTCCTTCACCGCCAATGTTCTGCACCAAAGCCATAACATCATTCCATCACATAACCACCTGTTCAACCTTTTATATTCACTATCTTTGTTTGACCCAAGACTACCATCCTCGTTATACTCACCATTCAATCCGACGTCAACCCTACATCAAATTCATATTGAACTAATTTTATCCGTTTCACAATTTTTACCATATATAAAAACATACTTATCCATATATATATGCTTAATATATATATCTACATATAGATATCCAGCGGCCCTTGAGAAAATCTTTAGTGATTAATAAAGAAAGACGAGTAGGAAGCACAAGTTTAGAAAGAGCGATGGTAGCATTTCCCATAGTGTTCTTCGAATGGTGAGGATTCACATGGAGGTTGTGGGAAATAACATATATTTTCTTGCCGTTGGGGCTCATCACGCAAGAGTAGAAGCAATGATTGTGCTTAAGAAGGAAACTAAAACCATCGAGGTTTGTCTAGCAAGGCTTAAGAATTTACCTTTTAGGAAATTGGGCTCATTTATACATGTTATAAAGATATAAGTAGATACATGTGTGTTTACGTATGTGTGTCTATGCTTGATTCATATGAATAATATATGAATAGATGTGCTGGTGTTAGTGCTTGAAGATAGAGGATGTTGATGGTTGTGGTGAGCAACAGTGTCAAGTCGGATAACTTAGAGAGAACAAGGTGACACTAGGTGGTGTTACACTGGATTATTGTAGTGTCTGGTTTGCTTCAATGAATAAAAGAGAGAAATTAGAGATAGGAGTTACGTGTGGCATGGTGGCATGTAATCAAGATGTTTGGTTAATTAAGTCGTGAATAGCTCAGACTTGGCGCACATTTAGCTTCTTTAAGCTTGTTTATTTAAGAGAGATGAGCTTTGCTCGAGCTCCTTTATTAAACAAGCCGATGTTGATAATTTTATGAGCTTAGCTCAGTTAGCTTGTGAACAAAACAAATGATAAGATTGTAAATTATAAAGGTTTCATGGCCATTTAATCACTTTAAATGTGAATCACCCATCGACGTGTCACAAAAAAAATATATATAACGCATACAATTTTGGCTGTGTCATAGATGAGACATGTGAGACATGGTTTTGATGTATATATATTGTATTGTGACAAGTCTCTTGACATATCTTCTTATTCTTCTTTTTTTTTTTTTCCCCATTCCCTGTCACACAGTATACAATCTCCCTCGTACACCCTCTTGTCTCCCTCCCTATAAACCCATTCCCCTCTTACTCTCTCTATCACAGTGGCAATCAAGGTTTTAAAAAGCGGCCGCAACACCCGTTACGGCCGCTTTTGCAGTGTGATTGAGATTCATAGGTGTGTCGGCCGTAGCGGTTGCCGTAGTAGTCGTAATGGTGCCGTAGGCTTGTTATGCACTGTTACGTAACGGTTCCAAATTGTTTCTTTCGAAAAAATAGAAAAAAAAAGCTAAAAATGGGAGAAGAGGGAAGATAAAGAGAAAATGGAGGAGCAAGAGATAGAAAGAGAGAAGAGGGAAGATGAACATGTTATTGATTTGTTGAAGTTGTAAGACCTATGATATTCTATTTAGCTGCTATCACTAAACTATTTTGTTTGTCTGTGTCTATCTATATATTGTTTGATAATAATAATAATAATAATAATAATAATAATAATAATTGTGGTCATTATTTATTTAGCTTAGTTAAAATATGTATATATATATATATATGTATATATTTAAGTTCTTATTTATTCTCTTACTTTTGTCATTATTTATCTTATATATAATAGTTAGTGATTGATTTTTTATATAATATAAAGTCATTAATTATTAAAATAAAATGTAAAAAACTCAGTTTATAGTGATTTAAAAATATGAAATATATTAGATTATACTTACAAATTTACAAAAATTGATTAATATTTATTTTAAACCCAATATATGTGATCATGGGAAAAAAATATGCGTATTAGTAAGTTTTTTTCAAATTGTGCGAAAAATAAAAAAATTTACGGGTTCTAGTTACTGCAACCGTTACGCTACAGCCTTTACACCCCGCAACCGCAACCGCGCCACCGCCACCGTTACGGCGGCCGTAACTGCTTTTCAGAACCTTGGTGGCGATAGTGCTATCGACAGTATGATGGTGCTCAGATCTGTGACATGGTGATGATGGTTTTCATATTTGAAAGACGGTGAAGATGGTGCTCAGATTTGGGACGACGATGACGATGACGATGACGATGACGATGACGATGACGATGACGATGGCGATGGCGATGGCGATGGCGATGGCGATGGTGAATATGGCGATGAAACCCCTTCCTCCTCTCTGATTTGATCTCCGTCACTGTTCTCTCACTAAGTTAGATATGGGATGTTTATGACCTTCGCAACCCCTCTCTAGTTCTGTATTATTATTATTATTTTTTTGTGTGGGTCATATGCACAACACTCTTATTCAGTTTCACTCGATCTGGCAGCTGAACCGAACAACTCGATTTTGCAGATTCGAAAAATACGATGGTTGGGATTGGATGGGTTTTCTTTCAACCCCATGATTGGGTTGGATGTCAAGTCGACAGTAAAACCAAGCTGACTTGACCCGTGATGAGTGTGATCACATCAGTCAATGATAGAGCGGCCTGTGATAGATTGGGAACTCTAGCTTAAAATAAAAAACTATAAATGGTGTCTTGTATAATTGTTATTCAAAGTGAAATCGTTGATTGATCCGACCCATATCATATTAACTATGTGTATTTCACCAAAATAACTACTAAAAAAATAATTTCATCGAAGTAGCAATATATAATTTAGAATACAAGTTAGTTTAACCCTGACATCCTTGGAAAATGTATTTTAACAATTTCTTATCTGAAAAAAAAAGAAGGAAAAAGGATAAGGAAACATGTCAAGTTTGACTAGATCCTATTCAACTTGTTTGGTTTTGGTTTTCAGAAAAAACTTTCAAAAAATTCTACTTTTCTATTTTATATATATATTTTTATTTTTAACGAATTTTTTAAATATTTTAAGCAATTTTTTAAATTTTTAGACACACTTAACATAAATACACTTAAAAATTATAATATTTGTGAAAAAATCTTTAAAAAATTCACTAAATATAAAAAAAAAAAAACGGAAATTCAGTACATTTTTCATATTTTTGTGTATTTATCAATTTTAAAAAATATTTTTTCACAAATATTTTACTATTTAGATACATTTAAGTAAGGTGCATCTGAAAAAGTTAAAGTAAAATTTTAAAAATATTCACTAAAAACAAAAAAATTGGAAAAATAAAAAAACTCAATTTTCAGAAAATTGAATTCAGAAAATTGAAACTAAACACACTGATTAATTTTTCTAATCACCTAAGGAATAAAGAATAACAAATCATGCATGGGTATTGGTTATTTTTTTTACTAAACACTCTTACAATTTGTATTCTGGCATTTTCATTAAATAAGAAGTTTGGAATCAATTAGAATCAAGGGTTCTTAGAATCGCATAAATTGTAAATTGTGAATCGAACTGTGAATCATAATATTCATCATTGATTCTATTCCAAAGTAGATCCATTTATAGATTCACATCAATTCATTCATGAATTGTGAATTGTATCACGGATCCTAATGATAGCACTATGATTCTTTGTCAAAAAATATAACAGGGAGACACAATACTTAGTTTGGTTATCGACAATGACAAATAACTGGTGATAGTTGATTGAATCGTGGTAGGTTGCAAGCCCTTCGAGTCACCATTGAGCCTAGCTCAAAAATGAAATTTTAGGTTAGAATTGAGATCAAGCCAAGCTTGAACATCCTAAAGTAGAACAGAATTTGTATTGGGAGTCTTGGACACCTTAAAATATGTTAATTGTTGTATAAATCGATATTTAAATTGAATTTACATTGACAAGAAAAAAGTTGTCATCTTTTTCTTTGCAGCCCATGAATTGGATCATTAATAGAGGTATAGATTCTTTTGCATATTGTTAGTGAAGTTAGGGGTGTAGTGTTATTTTCAAAACATGGGAGGCTTCAGCAATTGTCAGAAACCTCATGGGGTGTTGGTGTAATATACCCTATATAGTATTATAAGACACTAGTATGAACATTGGCAGCAATCAAGGTTTAGCTTTCAGGCCCCCTTGATGATATCTTTTGGGATCTCAAGGCAGGAACAGAAGTTTTTAGCCTTTGTCTTGAAGAATTTTAATCTTGACAAAAAATTGTTGCAACTTTCTTTTCTTTTCTTTTCTTTCCTTCTTATTGTTCTTGTGTTGGACTGTTGTAAATTAATGAACAAAATCCCATTTTCACAGAGGACGAGGCAATTCCACCTCTTGTCAAAAAAGAGCTACCAAAGAGTTCGTGGGAGGATGAAGATGCAGATGACAATGATGTGAAGGACTCTTGGGAGGATGAAGATGAACCTGCGCCGGTAATGTTGATAACGTGTTTGTTTTGTTAGATGTTCAGATATGGTATCGTATCTGGAAAAGATGTTGAGATAATGTAGCCATATTTAAAACATGTAACATTGGTAGCAGTTGTTAAATGACTGAATTTTGTTCTCAGCCATTCCAATTTAGTTGTGTCAATTAGATTAGTCTGCACTTCTTAATATGTGGCATTGCATTATTTGGAATATGCTTTCAAAACTTGCTTATGCTATTTGTTGTGAAAGAAAAAAGAAAAGACAGGAGCAAAACTACAGTGTAACTGTGGAGTTCGCTGAACCTGATTTTGAACAGAGTTTGTGGTGAACTTGAGGAGTTCATTCGATAAGAACCTGAGAGAGCTAGTTTACATTTTTCTGATTGATTCTGTTGCTTGCTCCTGCTATCCTTTACTGTTATGCTCACTGTTAATGATTCTCTTTCTCTCTGCGTGTTTGTGTGGTGTTATTTAAACGTTTTTCCCCTGTAAGCTTCTCTGCAGATTTTATGATTAGCAAACTTGTTGATGCCTCAAATTTCAGCAGGCTTCTTCCTTACATGAGCCATTTTATTTTATTTTTCCACTCGACAAAATGGAGAATATCAAGCTGTACTAGATTTTAGCCCTCCAATCAAGTGATTGATGCCGAATTTCATTCAATTTCTTGCCACCATTGAATGATCCTAAAGTATGCCCTAGAAGGGTGTCTAGATTATAGACTTTGAGTGGCATGAGAACATGATTTATTAGGCATATTTGTCGTCGTCGACCAAATTGTGGTCAAGAATATTATACGTTGTTTGGGGTTTGCTTATTTTTTGGCTTTTTGTCGTCTTTGGTGAACTTTAAAAAAAAAAATTCAAAAAGATTTAAGCTTCTAGATTCGGCTTGACAAGACGAACTTAAAAATTATTATTATTTTTTAGAACTCCAAAAAAAGTCTAGAGAAGACAAAAATAAGCAAAAGATAGCGGACTTTTTTTGGTTATTTTGGCTTTTTCAATTTTTTTTTTTTTATAGAAATTTTCAAAAGAAATTTACTTTTTAGATTCGTCTTGACAAGACGGACCGGAAAAATATAAAATTGACATAATTTTGAAAAAAAGTCACTAAAGACAATAAAATTCGGAAAAATAGGTGGCTTTTTTAGATGTTCCCAAACTAGCTACACTGTCGAATATTTCATGAATTGTTTGACTTAATATATCTGCATATTAGGTATGTGTATACTATGTGTATAGATAAATTGTGTTGCACAGCCACTTTTATATTCTTGTTTATATAAACTGAGAAGCATGCTTCATGCGGCGCATGAGCAGTGTTTTGTTTTGTTCCTGTTGGTGCATCGTTTCTTATTTTTCATGGAATATGATCAGGCACCTGCGCCTGCACCTTTACCTCAACCTCCTGCAGAAAAGGTCGTCAAGAAGACAAGTGCAAAAACTAGTGAAAAGAAAGGAAAAACTGTTGAAGTAGCAACGGAAGTGCCACTAGATCCAGCAGCAGAAAAACTTCGACAAGAAAGGTGAAAGATATGGATCTCTTCTCTTCTTGTTTTGGCTAGGCCATTTTTATTTAGATGTCTATTATAGAAGAGAAAGAATGCTGTCAAATTTAGAAATGTTAATACCTCATGCTAGAATCCAGTGATTGGTAATGTGGAAATATGAAGCATGTACACAACAGTTTGGCTTCCGTTTCTGTGTTCAACACATCAAGCATAAATACGCTGCAGACATGGCAGGATACCTGTGACATGTCTTTGTTTTGGGCATTTACATGTGAAGGACATGGCTGGGACATGTCAAGCGTGTAGACACGCCATCGACATGTTTAGTGTGATGACGTAAATTTTAAAAGAGTTTTTGGTGGCCAAAATGAAATATTAAAAATATATGATGCTGCAAAATAGAATAAGTCAAAAAATTGCCCTTTGAAATCGTAAGGTGAGAGAAATGAGAGAAACCAAGAGAGTGAATGATAGAGTAAGGACTCATCCGCATGATTTTCAGTTTGGCAACCTCCACTGCCACATACAATGACAATCAGTAAGCTATGATGGATTTCTTTTTGGTGTGTTTTTCACAGATTTTGAAGTTGTAATTTGAAATCAGATTTAGAAATCTGGTAGGCTTTGACCAGAAAAGTGGTCCACTTTTCTGATGCTCCGAATTGACTCAGCACTTTCCCTTTTTGATCAATTTTAATTGTTTTTTACCCTCTTATTTTTTCTTTGAGCGAAAAGGGCCATGGGGATGTAGATAGGGAGAGAGAGAAAGAGGATACAGGCGAAGCACAAATGGAGAGAGCTATGGGTTAGTTTTAGAGGGGAAGCGGTAGACCAAGCATGAACCTAGAGCAAATAGGGTAGTTGTGGAGAGGGAGAGAGAGTGACTGACTGTGAGTCAAGAGTGTCCTTGGAGAGGTGTTTTCAGTTTTTGTGAAGGAATAAATGAAAAGTGGATAGGCCTTTCTACACTCTTTTTCTTGGTTAAATTATTATTATCATAAGCTGTAATAACAGAATTACACCACCATTGACTTGAATAAATAGATTGGCATCCCAACAATTTTGTTTTTTGTCCTTTCATCCAGACAAGATTTGATGCTTGCATTTGATGTACTATTTATATATAAATTTTATAATCAAGTATTTATTGAACAAAATAAAATTTTCCTATATCATATAAGGAGCATGACAAAGGAGAAAATTAATAAATGCTTGAATTTGAAATGGCATCTAGAATTTAATAAGAAAATGAATAGACATTATAGTTATATCTATAATAATTAATAATTTATGAAATTTATTTTTCCCCCATATCCTAGTTGTGTTCGTGTCCTGTGCCAAACAGAAGGAATCCATTTCATTTATTTGGGACCTGAATTTTCATGTTTTGTTATGTTTGTTCATGTTGTATTAATTTGTGCTGATGTATACAATGATAGATACATGTCTGCCTTGGTTGCAATCGTAGCATTCTTAGGACCCTGCATATTTTGTAACTAGTATACAAAAAATATTCTTTTTTTCCCCCATATGATGTGTTTATGTGCTGATTTTACAAAAATTGTCATATCCCAACCCATTTATTTAAAGTTAAACTCAACCCACCCACTAACCCAATTATATACGCACATAAAATTAAAGCCATCCTACCACCACCACCACCACCACCACCACCACCACCACTGTCACCGCTACTATTGCCACCATGATTTAGCTACAGAGAGCCAACTTTACTTAAAATTCAATATATAATTGGGTTTTTAATTTTATATAGCAAAAAAGATTACTATTGCCCTAAATAGAAATTTAAATATAATTAATTGTTGGGTTTTTTTAATTTTTAGGGGTGACCATTGGTTTAATGGTAAAACCTTGGCCTAATGACCTTGAGGTTATGGGATCAGGTCTCGGGACAACCACTTTGTACTCTATGCCAAAGGTTAGGTGTGTTCCCAATTTTTTTTTCTCCCAAACACATTAATATGTGTACTAATTGGGCGTTGTTTTTTTTTTATTGTTGGGTTTTGGGTTTATGATTTCATGTTTAGGGTTCATAAGTAAGTGGATGTAGAGTAGAGAGTGTAAACCAAGAGATTACACCTGAGTTGAATAGGGATTAAATAAACCGAGAGACAGAATAAGCTTACCTTAGAACAAGCTTCCCAAATTTTATGCTTTACTAACACTTATTATTTGTAACTAATTATGTTATAACAATTTCTATGTCATGTTTGGGAATTCTGCTTTTATAGATACACAAGAAACACCAATGTTTTTGTGATATAAAATTAAAAACCCAACACTAATGAGTTGTGTTACCTAGTGAGACCCACAAATTCATATTTTTGATAAAATCTTTATTGTATACAATGAACATAATAAACATGGATTCTTGAATGAATTTTACACTTCTACGAATAAATATTCTTTATTCATTTTATTCAAGCTTTCTCATCAAAACATAGGTTAGACACAGTTTTAATCACAGTCAAAACAAGAATAACACAATATAGACTGACTGTAGTATGAAAATAATGCAACCATACACAATAGAAAGGGTGACACGTAGGGTGTTAGTTACATACTCTTTGCAAATGATATGATTGTATATTGTGGAGCAGTATGCATGCCATGTATCATCATCATCATCATCATCATTATTATCATCACCATAATTATTATTTATTTTTTGTATGAGATAAGATCAATAAAATAGGCTTTCTACTTAATTGATTATGACATACTGCTTTTTACATAATTCCTGCCAGTGCTTTGGGTTAGTTTTTTAACATAGGTAATCAGAAAGCTTAATTCATGTGATAGCGTGGTTGATCTCGGCAGAGCTGATTTAACTTTGTTGAATTGTAAGGTTCATAATGGATTTATATTTGTTTTTTCCGTCTCCATCACATAGGCTTGTGGAAGAGGCTGATTTTAAGTCTACCAGAGATTTGTTTGGTAGCAGAGATGATGGGAAGACCCTTGATAATTTCATTCCCAAATCTGAAAGCGACTTCTTAGAATATGCAGAACTCATTTCTCATAAACTTCGTCCGTATGAGGTTTGTTGAATTTGTTTTATTTTATTTAAGATACGATGATAAAAGGTGGTGCCAAGTTTGACCTGGCCTTCATTTAATTTTCAATGCAGAAAAGCTTTCATTATATTGGATTGCTTAAAGATGTGATGAGATTGTCAATGACTGCTCTTAAAGCGGCAGATGCGAAGGAGGTTGCCTCTTCTGTCACTGCTATTGCAAATGAAAAGATAAAAGCAGAGAAAGAAGCCAATGCCGGTAAAAAGAAGACAGGTAAATATATATATATATTTTTTTATATTTTAATTTTTTTTGTTTTTTGTGTAGAAACTATACCTCGTTTCAAATGTGATATTTTTTTTCTTCACTTGGGGTTTTCTCTCTCTGTTTTGTGAGTGAGTGTGTTTGTGTCGGTCAATTAAACATGTCTTGGATATAGAGGTACTGGAAGTATCCAGTCCATCTGAAATCAACGTAGAAGTTATTTCTCCCTGTGGCGGGGTATTGCAGATATTCTTAACATGGACCCAAAAAAAAAAGCTTGCGTCATGTGGCTGAATTCGTAAGCTTATTTATTGCTGCAGGTTGCATCTGACTGTGCACTTAGTTTTATTTATTTGATTTCCATAAAGCAGAAATAAAATCCTGGGAAGTTGATTATAATTGTAGACTATGAAGCACGGACGTTACTGTAGACATGTCGGATACCAACACAAATGTCTTAAAATTGGACCAGATCAGTCGGTTTAACCGGTAGGCCGTTGATTGGTTCTAGTTGTGGTCTGGGAACACCCCTAGAACCGTTGGAAATTGAAAATCAGAACCAGTACAAACTGGTCTCTCTGTGTCTGTCACAGCCGGCCAGGCTAAGGACTAGGCAAAACTAATGCTGGTTGCACCTGACAAGTGCAAGCAAAACACAAGTGAGCCTCTGCTATTATAGCCAGAACATGGAGTTTGGGCTTCATCTAGTTTTGATGTGGGCCGCCTTCAAGGCTTCAACCACTAGCAGTGTCATAGTACCCATCACTTGTTGGGTGATTATTCAGTATTTTCGGAGTATGGACATTTGGTGTTCCATAAGGTTTTAATTGGTAGAGAAGCGTAAAGGCCTACAATTTATGTTGGGGATGAGAGAACAACATGGGACTAAGTAATTGGCGATTGCTTGGAGTATGGCCACGTGGTATTCCGGGAGTATTGAATAATTTCCCTCATTTGTTAGACTTGCTTTTAATTTTTAATTTTTAATTTTTAATTTTTTTTACAAGATTTCTTTTTAGACTAGACTGTTTAACCCTTCCTTTGAGTTCCTTCTCTAGAGTAATCTCTCTCCCGTTCGTTTCAACGGCTCTCATTAAGAGAAATCAAAACAATGGCGGTTTGATTAAGACAAAAAAAAAAAAAAAGACGCGCAGAATGAAGAGAACAGAGAGAAGACTGCCCGTACATTACCAACCCACTCTGATCGGCCGGCGGCCACCCTATCCCCCACCGTTGCCAACTGCCGCCAATCGCTCCCCCCTCCTCTTCTTCCCCCCAAACCCTAGATCTAGCCCATCCCCCCCATCATCGGTCTCCAGATCTCTGAAGGTGGGCCTCCAATTCGCTGTTGGCTGAATCACTCCTTCCTTGGGAGCTTTCCAGCACCGGCCTCACATCCTTATCTGTAGCAGTCTTTCAAGAACTCAACTGCCACTGGAGACATTATAGATCGAACCCAAAAGCGATTTAGGAGGAGGAAGAAGAGAGGGGAGGAGGAGGAGGAGGAGGATGGAGGGTTGGCCAGCGGCTGGAGAGGGTGGGGGATGGGTGGCCGCCAAGGTTGTTAAAATCGGGATCCTATGTAGGATAGGTGAGAGGGTCTCGTGGATCGGATCGGATCGAAAGATTAGATTGAGGATCGTAAGATTTTACTTTCTATTTAAAAACCGGTAAAAATACAAATTAGGATGATACATATTAAAATAAAGTAAAAACTCATAAATCCAGTGATTCTACTTATGATCCTAACTACGATCCTATACGATGTTATTTGCGATCCTATTATAATATTGATCCTACAATGATTTGGATCGTTTTGACAATTTAGGATCGTAGGATCCGGATCGCAATTTTGATAACCATGATGGCCGCCGACAGAAAGGGTGAGGAGGAAGGAGGAAGAAGAGAGGGAAGAGAGAGAGATCTGTGAAGAGAAGGAAGAGAGAGAGATCTGTGTTTTGTTTTGTTTTTTTGCATTAAAGTGAACAAGCTGCATGAAAACTCTAGAGAAGGAACTCTAGAAGATCTGGATGCAAGTAGAAGAGTCCATGTAAACATAGCTGTTTCTGTTTTTGTTTTTTGTTTGTGTTTGTATCCGTGCTTCTTAGATTGTAGTTGCATTCCACATGTATCAAAAGCCGACAAACCATGGACATGCCAGGATATGTATTGAACTTGTCATGTGGCATTTCCCCTTAATTTTTTTTTCTCTGTCTAGACACTTGAGTCATGGATACGTGTTTCCTTCCTCTGGACACGCCCCAAAAGGCAGTTATCTTGACATGTGGCGTAAAAGAGTTGTAGATGCATAATTACCTTTATGTAGTCATGTTGTCTATGTTAAGCATCATTATGTAGTATTCTCGCACTTGCTCTTTAAAAATACAAACAAGTAACATTTTCTTTCTTTATTTCTGAAGTGGTGTTTGATTGTTGAAGATGAACCGTCTATCTAAATTAGTGTTTGATTCTTGAAATTGCTATTTAGAAAAAGAAGCTTGTAATAGTTATAGGAAAATGTTTTTTTTTGTTTCATTTGGCTGCCACATAATGTCCCATCATGTTCCTGCATCAATTTTGACTGTTGGGCACACTTACTGTTTTGCCACCTGAAGCCAGGTCTGCATTAGATGCATAGTCTTATTTTGACGGAGTGTTTTTCCATTTTGATTAGTTACAGATGATCTAATTTTGTGCTGTTCATTTTGTATTTTAGTATGATGATTCAAAAGTGACCTTGCTGGTATTGGGTTCTCTGTTGGTCTGCAGGAGCCAAAAAGAAACAGTTACATGTTGATAAGCCGGATGATGAGGCGGTAGTTGATGCCTACGATGCTTATGACGACTATGATTTTATGTGAGAGCTTTTTTGGTCAACTGCGGTACACCATTGTATCTGGATTTCTCCCAAAGAAACTTAGGATCTTGTGTTTTAAGATGTTCAAGTAGAGAGCCGAGGATCCTACGGCATTTTGTGCTCCAAATCATGGAGATTTGAGTGTGTTAAAATTGCAGTTCTGTTGAATAAAAGTATTTTTGAAAAGCACATTTTGTTGTGTGGTGAATTGTCTATATGTCTATAGACTACATGTTTGTTGGTTTCTCTGTACTGTGTCAGTGTCAGTCCATCCAGTGGATCATTCAAATATAAAAAATATACATCAATAAGTTCCGAATTTTTAGTTGCCATTAATTTTGAAGCTGTATTCTTCCCTGTTCCTTTCTTTCTGCCTCTTTTTCTTTGATGTACTAGTAGTCGGTGTTTCGCAACTACCTGCTAAGTTGCTATACATACAAAAATTTTAAGACAGAATGATGTGGCAATAGTATCCTTACAATTATAAACTAAAGTAATAGGCATTTTGAGTATCAATGAATGGCCATTATTTTGTATGAATATTTTATATAAAAATTTTGTTTGTATAACATTACTTTTCATTGGAAGTCAAAATACCTATCACTTTGGTTTGTAATTGTAAAAATATTATTGTCAAATCATTGTCTTAATTTTTGCATGAAAATTATGTGTATATCAATTTTAAGTTTTTTTTTTATTTATTTTTATTTTTTATAGTAAATATTGCTAGTTTGGTTAGGACGAAAGTACTAGAAAGAGAAAAATGGAAAAAAATAAAAATAAAAAATTCCTTTTCTAAGTTTGTTTAATATGAAAGTAGTAAAAATTATACAAACGTTCTTTGTCATGGTAATTAAGTTTTTATTTTCTTGTCAAAACAAAAACATAAAAACTTAAATTTATGAGGCAATTTTTGTATATTTTTTTCATCTACTTATATTTTACTTAGTTCAAGTCATTTTCGTATATATTCTAATAATAAGTCCTATTCATAGTTAGTAAAACACCCTTGGAGGAGTGTGTTGTGTTATTCAAACAATATCACCAACTTCACATTAGGAAATGTTGCTTCATATACTCCCTAAATTTTTTTGAAATTTGAAAATGACTTCGTCAGTTTGCCTTCCATCATCTACAACTGGTGTCGCATTATTCCGTGGCCAGTGACCAACACTCATCCCTATAGCAAAGGAAGGATTGTGGTTGAGAGAGTTTTGGCTTTGCTTTTGTTTTTCTATGTTAGAAAAGTGTGGAGAAACTTTTGTTTCTTTGTTATAAGGTGTTTGGGTGTTGGCAACATACCATTTGTTTTCGACAATGCTACGTAACTCAAATTTTGTGGCTTAAAAGTGACTCAAATGGCCAAAACGACGTCGTTTTGAGTACAGAACAACATAAAAATAGCCAAAACGACGTCGTTTTGAGTACAGAACAACATAAAAATGGCTAAAACGACGTCGTTTTGGCCATTTGAGCCACAAAATTTGAGTTACGAGACATTTTCCATTTGTTTTTGTTTTTGATGGGCCCTAGAGCATGTACTAACATAGTTGGGATGCGTTCTCGTGCCAATGATACTCTTTTGCCTTGGCCTTTTTATTTTTATTTTTATTTTTGTTGATGTAGTTTAATTGTACTTCTTATAATTTTGATATGCATTAATAAAACTTGTCTTTTCACTAATAATAATAATAATAATAATAAAAAGAAATGTGTAAAGAAACTCGTATCCTTCTGTTAGCAAAAATTTAGTTTATGCCCAATCGATAGCGATTGATTGATAGGCTTAAACAAATTTTAATAAATACAAAAAGATCAAGTTTTGTAGTTGAGTTCTATATCTTAAATAGATTAATGATTTCCCTGGAGATAATTAAATAAAAAAAGGATTTGAATAGAAAAGAATATATATTTATGCAATTAAATTGTCATTTGCTATTAGTTACAAGAACTCAAACAAGAACAAAAAAATGAAAAATATAGCAATTGACAGAAAAAAAAGAAGTGGGGATTGGAAAAAATTACTAGTTTAATCTATTCCTAAAAGGCTAACTTAGAACTACTCATAAATAACTCTTTACGAGTGTGATTGGTGGTTGTTGATGATTCATTGATTGATTTTTGTATTTTTCTTGGCCTATTTATAGGCTCAGTCATATGAGAGAGAGAGATAACCTAAGCCTATGATTTCCTCAACAAGCCCATGATTTCCTCAATATGATACATATCCCATCTTTGATAGGAATCATTTTGTAGATTTGGTGCTTGATTTGATTTTGACTCCTTAATCTAGGCAACTAACTTTTAAATTGCTAAATTGCTTAATTGCTAACTTTCTGGCCCTCCATTTAACATGTCATCATATTACGTTCTTAACACATTTATCGTGCCACGTTAGCATGCCTGTCGACAAAAATAATAAAAATAAATGTGGTCAAGGTTATTCTTTGAAAATAGTTTATGATTTCAATCGACAGACCATAATCGAACTTGGCCATAATTAATAGGCCACAATCGACAAAAAAATAAAATGCGGTGCAAACAATGCCCCCTCATTTAAATGGATTGAAGAATGAAATCCAATTAAATGATTTATACGGTGGTTTACCACAATCGACAGAAAAGTGCAAATAATTTAAATTCTTAAGAGTTATACTACACCTATAGTAATTCACCCATAGTAATTTTTAATCTATCACTGTCGATTGGCGAACACTCTATCTTTGGCTCTGTCGAGTGACATAACAAAGAGTCACATCCCTTATTTTTAAAATAAAACAATTCTCTGTTAGCCACATTTGGGTTAATTAAATAGAATTCACTACATATAGCATTTTTCAACCATTGTTGTTTTTCAAACCATGTCATGAAAATTAATTTTTGGTGCGATCTACCAATCCAAAGTGGATGTTGGATCCCAAAACTCACATAATGAATGTCATGAAAAATTCATAAATTTTGACACTTTGAACAATGTCAAAAAATTCACATTTAATAAATGTAGGTTCATTAATTTTAGCTATCCTTAGCTTAAAATCATGTCCCCCAAATTCATAATTTTCAGCCTTCATTAGCTTAAAAATCATACCCTCTAAGTGAATTTTTACCATCATTTTGTGATTTTTTTTTTTAATATTTTTTGAGAGAAAGGATTGTTCTTCTTTTTTAGCCATTAATGGTTTGTCACTTTTTGTCACGTTTGGCAAAACATTATGCCCCCAAATGAATATTTTTCATTAGAATTCTCAATATTTCTTGAGAGAAGGGGTAGTTTTTTAATTTTAGCCATTAATGGCCAATGAAAATTCCCCAAAGTCATATTATTTTCATGACTTGGTGTGCTAACCCTTCAAGCCACATACCTTGGCTCTTCATGAATGATTGGCTCTTAAAAAATATGTGTCATAACCACATGAGTTACATTATTTTCATATCTTAATTTTTCATTAGCCATTATGCCTTCTAATTTTTGCTTCCAACATAGATTTTTTTCATCAATTAGAAAAATTTAGCCTTTAAGTCGATGAATTTTTCTATCACAGTAATTTAAATCTCTTTGCGTCAAATAATACAGAGATGATGAAATTATTTGAAATCTTTGCCTATAAAGGGAATTAATTTCTTCTCTTAGGACTAAAATTTCACTCTCGCACCAATAAATTTCATCCCCATAACGCCAAATCATTTTTTTCACATCATATTTCATGCCATTATGTTGGCAATAAACGTAGAACTACCACCATAACACGGACAATTTTCAGTATATGAGGCACTCCAATGATAATCTGTATCCATGGGAACACTGCCACTCCATTGGCAGTTTGCATCCATGGGTTCACAAGATGTAAACATGCCACTCGAGGGCATGATTTCATACGCGTTAATCTGCTTCTTCATTGCCATTACTCCAAATTATAGAATGGCCCAACCGGGCGTGCCAATTTTTGTTAGCAAAAATTCGGTTTAGGCCCAATCGACAGTGGTTGATCGATAGACTTATACAAATTTTAATAAACATAAAAGATTAGGTTTTGTGGTTAAGTTCTATGCCTTAAACAGATTAAGGATTTCCCTGGAGGTAATTAAGTAAAAAAGAATTTGAATAGAAAATAATATGTATTTATTCAATTAAATTGTCACTTGTTATCAGTTACAAGAACTCAAACATGAATAAAGAAATGAAAAATACATCAATCGACAAAAAGAATAGAAGTGGGGATTGGAAAAAGTCGCTAGTTTAATCTACTCCTAAATGGCTAACTTAGAACTACTCATAGATAACTCTTTACTAGTGTGATTGGTGGTTGTTGATGATTCATTGATTGATCTTTGTATTTCTCTTGGCCTGTTTATAGGTTTAGCCACATGAGAGAAAGAGATAACCTAGGTAAGCCCACGATTTCCTCAACAAGCCCATGATTTCCTCCACATGATACATATCCCATCTTTGATAGGAACCCATTTTTCAGATTTGGTGCTTGATTTGATTTTGGCTCCTTAATCTTAGTAACTAACTTTCAAATTGCTCAACTGCTAACTTTCTAACCCTCCATTTAATATGTCATCATGTTACGTCCTTAACACATTTATCATGCCACGTTAGCATGCCTGTCAATAGAAATAATAAAAATAAATGTGATCAAAGTTATTCTTTGAAAATAGTTTATGATTTCAATCTTCGAACTTGGTCATAATTAATAGGCCACAATCGACAGAAAAATAAAATGTGGTGCAAACACCTTCAATGAAAATCGATGCCACAGATGTTGTGGAATGATTTGTTGTACTTCAAAGAAAAAAGAAAGGGTGGTTCTGGTCCATTTACGATTAGAATTAGGTTTTTGGAAAAAAGATAGTTAGGTTATGATTTTTGGAGAAGAATATGGAGATAAGGGGGGATTTGTCTTCATACATCGTATTTTAACTCTTATTCTATGTGCATGTGCTACAAATTTAGTAAATTTAGATGGAACTACTAATGGTAGGAAGATAAAGTAAAAAATAGTCAAAACAACAAGATGTGATTGGCTCTCTAAAAATAGGGGTGCTAAACCATTAGGAAGTAAATTGAATTTTTCTTATTTATTTTGAAAAGTAACCAATAACTTTTTTGTTTATTGTTTTTTGCTTTTGTTTTTGTTTTCTGTTTTGTTGGTGCTAGTTGAACCAATAACTTCTTTCCCCAGCTAAACATTGAACATAAATATATAACAGGACCTAGATGGCTAGGTTAGATAGGTTGTCTAGTAATGGAAAACCAAACCACCATTGATTGCCTTCAATCAAACCAAAACGCCATTAATTGCTACAATATTTTTGAAACAACAACAACAATA